TCTTTCCCTTCTTTTCTTTCCCTTGGCCTCTACCTCAGTTTTACTCTTCCTCTCTTCTTCCCTCCCTCTCTCCAATGCCCGGCTTTAGCCTGGCTAACAAGCAAGACAAGAAGGACGCCTTGCTACTTTGTGATATTACTGAATATCTGCTGCTGGAAAGGCTAACAAACAAGAACCAGTCTCTGTGCCGAGTGGTAAGTGTCCAGCCCTCCCCTCCCTTGTCCTCTCAAGCAAGGCCGATGCCTCCCTTGGCCCATAAGCAGCCTCCTATGCCGGGTCTTAGGCAAAGCCTCTCTTTGCCAGGCAACAACTACAGTGATGATTTCTGACTCAACAGTGATAATAAATATCACACTCTTACAACACTTTCACATCTGTTTTCTCATTAGGCCTGCAAAATAGCTCTTTAAAGTTGGAAGTTTTAATAGCCTCATTTTATGGTTAAGAAAGTTAAGGCTCAGAGACTCTGAGTGACTTGTCCGAGGTCACACATCCAAGACATTACACTTGATTAAAGGATCTTAGCTTTTGTACCTTTCATATACCTTCTCAGGAGTGAATGCTGAGTATCTCCTAGGAAGTCTTAAGAGCCTCTCTAGGCACAGCAGAGCTTATGTGCACCTGTGCCCTTTGGCTGAGGGGGACTGGGACTGGGAGCCCTAGGGGTCCCAGGTTGCTGGGCTGGAGCCTTCTCTTCTCTTTTTGTCACAGGAGCCCTGTTCAGCCATCAAAAACCTCCAAAGAAGGAACCATGAGCCTATAATTGGAGGCCTGCGCTGGCTGTTATCTGCCATTGGGGATAAATATGAAGAGCTGTGTGCTCACCAACAGCCACTCCCATCGAGCATCCCAGCCCCCAAGAGCACCAGAGGCTTTGGGGAAATATGCTCACCAGACAGGTACCGAGCTGTCTCTACTAGGTGTACTGATAAGAATAGATGCAAAAGGGCCTCCCTGGTGGCGCAGTGGTTAAGAGTCCGCCTGCCGATGCAGGGGACACGGGTTCGTGTCCCAGTCCGGGAAGACCCCACGTGCCGTGGAGCGGCTGGGCCCGTGAGCCACGGCCGCTGAGCCTGCGCGTCTGGAGCCTGTGCTCCGCAACGGGAGAGGCCACAACAGTGAGAGGCCCACGTACCGCAAAAAAAAAAAAAAAAAAAGAACAGATGCAAAAGTCAGTCTTCAACATAAGCAGTGAGTTCTGGGAGGGGCATGAATTCTGTGTGGTGCTGAGCAAGTCTCTCAAGATCATTTGGCCCAAATGGGGCGAGGGCAGTGACCACAAACATACCAACATTGTTAGGTACACCCTCCCCTTGGCACAATTTGAGTGGTCACGTCAGTGGAATGAGTTAACTCATCAGTATTAGACTGTCTCCAAAACAGGGTTTCAATTCCCTGGTTTGTCACAGAGAGGAGAAAAGGAGCACGGGCCCCTTAAGGAGCTTATTGGCAATACTCTATGGCTAAATACCCTGGAAGTGCCCCACATTCTCCGCTTCCTGTTCTCTGGTCATCCCAATGATAAGGAAAGATGGGAGGGAACAGGAATATGGAAAGGAAGAAGAAAAAAAAGAAAACGGGGTGATCTAGGTTTTGAGGAATAAAAGGACTAAATGTCCTTTTGTTCTGTTGTCCCTTTAATTGTTCCAAAGACATATGGCAGGGATGGGGGGATAGCTGGATTTGATTAAGTAGCTTGCATCTGTTTTCACTATGGCTTTGTCCTTTCTATCTTCCCCAGCTTCACTACCAGGATGGGAAAGTCCAAAGAAAAAAGACAGCACCCAGGACAACACTCAATGGAACCTAGGCCTCTAAAGCCAATCCTACAGGTAAGTGGCTCACTAAATGTTATTGCCCCAGGGACCAATCCCTGAGCTCTCGGGCACCAACTGACTTTTTTTTCCTTCATCTTCCTGCTATACAGAAAGAAGGTATAAGACCTAAAAAGAACACATCAGTAACATTTGCTTTAGACGAACCCAAGGAGGAGGGTGAATGTTATGGGGGAAATGGAGCTTGTAACACCACTGAGCCTGGCTACAATCAGAGCCCCCAGCTCCATATGCTGAGGAAATCTTTTTGAAGGTAATCCTGGATCAGTGGTTAGTCAGAGAAGAAAAGATATAAAGGCCTTTCCTCACAATTTATAAAACAGTATTCCTATTTTGAGTCCAAAACTCTTTTCTCATACTATGGTTGGTGGTCAGAAGAAAGAAATGTACATGAAATACTTGGGGATCACCATCTGGCCGTCCAGTATGATGCCCCAAGATCTTTGTTTGGATGGCTATAGGGTTATCTTAAAGGTTATGATTTCCAGTGGTGGAAGTACAAATTGGTACAACCTTTAGGGAGAGTAGTTTGATTGTATGTCTCCCTCCTACTCTCCCTCTCTCTCTCAATAGATATATATCGAGAAATTTAAAACTGTGGAAACCCTATGAGCCAATCATCTCATGTCTTGAACTGAAGCTAAAGATAATTACACAAGTACACAAAAAGGATGCTCATGGTTGCTCAATCATAGCATTGTGTATAACAGCTAAAAGTTAGAAACAAGCTAAATGCCTAACAATAGTGAATGGCTAAATTAATTATGGTGCACCCACACAATGGAATACTATGCAGACCTTAAAAGGGCTAATGTTGACTTATATTTACTGACATGGAAAGTTTTCCACAACCCAAAGTTTTGTTAGAGAAAATGGCAATTGAGAGCACAGCACATATAGCATGATGTGTATACATGCATAGAATATCTGGAGGGGAATCACCGAACACAAGCAGTGGTTTTCTCTAGGGATAAGATTCTAGGTGATTTTGAGAAGAGCCAAGGTACCTTTCTTTGGATTTTTGTATTACTGGAAATTTTTTTAATAATCATATATGATTTCTCCCAATATACTAAAGGCACTAAAAAAATCTGTGAGGACTTAAAGGCCCATTGTTGTTAATGTCTTCTCCATCTCAGTGTTCCTTGGCCCCAGTCTCCATGACAATAAACTGTCAATATTATAATGTCACTTCTGCTCTCCAAAGGATCTGGCCCTTCAGGCTACCCCAGAGCCCTGGGTTGTTACACCTACACAGAGGGCCCTAGATAGGAACATTGAGGAGGAGAGAGGTACTGCTCTGGGAAGGAGAATGAGAGGTGAGTGGATGGAATCTGGCAGAAGAGTGGAGGAAGTGTCTTTCTAGATGTCAGAATCTACCCTTAAATCTCTGTCCAAAATTGAAATCCATTTTTCATTTCTATAACCTCAGAACCAAGGGCAAAAAAGAGAGAAGACACTGGGGACCTTGGAAAGTAGCTAACACCCTCCTCACCTGGATGGACAGGAAGCCTGGTGCTTAGCTTTGCTTGCAGTGACTACCTCTTTTCTTTCTCTTTTTAGACTTTTAACAGAGTGCTAAAGAGGAAAATGAAGGGAAGTCAAAAGAAACATCTCATATCCCTCCTTTAGTAAATGGGTTCATCTACAGAACCATTAGGATTATTCAGTTTTTCAATTTCTGTTTGTTAGTACCTCTACAGTCCCCCTACAACTCCACCTACTCTAACATAATATCCCTGAGAACTCCCATTGTGCTTGTACATCGACATTCGAGCCATCAAATGAATCTTATCCCCACCAAGAGGCTCAAGAACAGTTAGGGGGCATCCGTTTGAGAGTGAAGACAACGTTGGCAATGAAGATCAGAGCCTTGATGTCTTTATACCCAGATGCTCCTGATGAAGTTTGTGAGCAACATGTTGTGGGTGACCAACTGCAGTTGAGCCTTAGAAGTACAGGGTCAGTTTAGAATTAAATTTTCCCCCTATGTTCTTGGGTGGAAGGGGACTGGCATAAATAAATAGAACTGTTCTGCTGAGAATTATGCTCTGCTGAATCATTTTCAATCATGCCTCCGAAAACAACTCAGTTTTAAATTCCCTACCACTGTCTGAGAAGCCTGGCAAAAATTCTTTTGCTGTCCCTTCAGTAATAGCAATTGCTGTCTCTCCTAACACTTAGGTTAGGTATGCAAAAACCATACGAGCTTAAACACATTCAACTCTCCATCCCAAGGAAGGCAGTGGTAGTGGTGGTAATCATTCTTCACTATTAGTTCAGCTGTTACTTTCACCATCAATACCACAGCCCCCATTTACTGACTGCCTTCTGGATGTCAGACGCAGCACTAAGCTCTTCACATTCATTATCTTATTCACAAAAACCTTGGGGGTAGGCAGTATACCTGCCTGCATATTACAGATGAAGAAACTAAGGGGTAGGGAAGTTAAATAACTTATCCAAGGTCCCACAGCCTGTAAGATGCATTGCAGGGAACCAAATCCAGATCTGACTCTAGAGCTACTTTAGGCCAGAAAGATCTGCTTATGCTTTGCTCAAACTCTACCCAGAAAGAGAAAGCTATACCCAGGAAAGATGCTGAAGCCTCACCACACCCATGTCAGAACTACGTTGACAGCAATAAGCACACCCATGGTAGTGGCAGACACGGGTGAGTGAGCACTTCCATTCTGCCAGACGCTGGGCTAAATGGTTTACATACATTACTGCCTTGCATCGTCACAAGCCTATGAGGTCAGTTCTATTATCATCATCTTGCAGAGGCAGAAATTGATGTTCAGAGAGGTCAAATCATTTATCCCAGGGCACCCATTAGGAAGTGGCAGAACTGGTTTTCAAACTAAGCTCCAACTCCATAACTCATGCTCTTAACTCCTACCCTATATGGTCTCACCAGGCAGTATAAACCAACTAGCCTATAATTGTTTCTGAGAGATAGAAACCTGGCACATAAAGGATCAGTCTCACAACCCCATCTGGAGGGCCTGACACTGTCAAAGACTGCAGCATTTGTTTTATGCATTGCATATGGCCTCATGTCCAAGAGGATCACCCCAGGCACTCTGTGGGTCTTTGACAGGATTCTGACTAAGGCTCAGCTTATCAGTCATGGAGCTGGAAGGAACCTTACAGAACCTCTAGTCCAACCCCAGGTGTTATACAGATTAGGAATTTGGTACAGAGGTTAAGTGACTTGCCCATGACTGTAGAGCTGATCACTGACAGACATGCTCCTAAAATCCAGATCTCCTGCATGCCCAAGCCAGTGGGCTACCTTCCCTGCCCCAATGTACTACACCCTCTCTGGGGATTCTCTGGCCACTCTTGACCCACCTACTTTCCTCCAATTTGCCCAATAAATATCACTGGAGAATTCTGCTGACAATCATTCTCACCCAGGGACGCAGCAAATATCTCTACTGAAGAACAGTTTTATCAGGCAGGAGACTATAATTCAACAAACCAAGGTTCTTCAGAAAATTGGACCACCCACATTTCTCTAAATGGCATGTATGTCTATGAGGCAGGCATACTTTCTCAGCCAAGAGAGAAGGAAAAGTATGGCTAAAAGGGTGTGGGAATGCTATCTATGAATATGGGCAGGGTGGAGAATTTAGGTTGAAACGACCTCTGACAAAACTGAATTTCAGTAAATTGGCATACTTCCCATTGTACAATATATGGGTTCCTGGGTGTCAACCAAATTTTCCTACATAAAATCTATCAACCAAAATTATTTAAAGAGGGCTTCCCTGGTGGCAGAACGGTTAAGAATCTGCCTGCCAATGTAGGGGACACAAGTTCCAGCCCTGGTCCGGGAAGATCCCACATGCTGTGGAGCAACTAAGCCTGTGTGCCACAACTACTGAGCCTGAACTCTAGAGCCCGTGAGCCACAATTACTGAACCCTGCATGCTACAACTACTGAAGCCCACATACCTAGAGCCCATGCTCTGTAACAAGAGAAGCCACCACAATGAGAAGCCCACGCACCTCAACGAAGAGTAGCCCCCACTCACCACAACTCAAGAAAGCCCGCAGGCAGCAACGAAGACCCAATGCAGCAATCAGTCAATCCAGCAATAATAATAAAATGAATAAATAATAAAATGATTAATAAATAAAAATTTAAGGAATATCCCCCAATACAGCCAGCATACTTATTTATTTAACATCTTTACTGAAGTATAATTGCTTTACAATGTTTAGTTGCTGCTGTATAACAAAGTGAATCAGCTATATGTATACATATATCCCCATATCCCCTCCCTCTTGTCTCCCTCCCACCCTCCCCATCCCACCCCTCTAGGTGGTCACAAAGCACCGAGCTGATCTCCCTGTGCAATGCGGCTGCTTCCCATTAGCTATCTACTTTACATTTGGTAGAGTATGTATGTCAACGCTATTCTCTCACTTTGTCCCAGCTTACCCTTCCCCCTTCCTGTGTCCTCAAGTGCATTCTCTACATCTGTGTCTTTATTCCTATCCTGCCCCTAGGTTCTTCAGAACCATTTTTTTCCCTTAGATTCCATATATATGTCTTAGCATACAGTATTTGTTTTTCTCTTCCTGACTTACTTCACTCTGTATGACAGACTCTAGGTCCATCCACCTCACTACAAATAACTCAATTTCGTTTCTTTTTATGGCTGAGTAATACTCCACTGTACGATGTGCCACATCTTCTTTATTCATTCATCTGTTGACGGACACTTAGGTTGCTTCCATGTCCTGGCTATTGTAAACAGTGCTGCAATGAACACTGTGGTACGTGTCCCTTTTTGAATTATGGTTTCTCAGGGTATATGGCCAGGAGTGGGATTGCTGGGTCACATGGTAGTTCTATTTGTAGTTTCTTAAGGAACCTCCACACTGTTCTCCATTGTGGCTGTATCAATTTACATTCCCACCAACAGTGCAAGAGGGTTCCCTTTTCTCCATACCCTCTCCAGCATTTATTGTTTGTAGATTTTTTTGATGATGGCCATTCGGACCAGTGTGAGGTGATACCTGATTGTAGCTTTGATTTGCATTTCTCTAATGATTAATGATGTTGAGCATTCTTTCATGTGTTTGTTGGCAGTCTGTATATCTTCTTTGGAGAAATGTCTATTTAGGTCTTCTGCCCACTTTTGGATTGGGTTGTTTGTTTTTTTGATATTGAGCTGCATGAGCTGCTTGTAAATTTTGGAGATTAATCCTCTGTCAGCTGCTTCATTTGCAAATATTTTCTCCCATTCTGAGGGTTGTCTTTCTGTCTTGTTTATGGTTTCCTTTGCTGTGCAAAAGCTTTGAAGTTTCATTAGGTCCCATTTGTTTATTTTTGTTTTTATTTCCATTTCTCTAGGAGGTGGGTCAAAAGGATCTTCCTGTGATTTATGTCATAGAGTGTTCTGCCTATGTTTTCCTCTGAGAGTTTTATAGTGTCTGGCCTTACATTTAGGTCTTTAATCCATTTTGAGTTTATTTTTGTGTATGGTGTTAGGGAGTGTTCTAATTTCATTCTTTTACATGTAGCTGTCCAGTTTTCCCAGCACCACTTACTGAAGAGGCTGCCTTTTCTCCACTGTATATTCTTGCCTCCTTTATCAAAGATAAGGTGACCATAGGTGCGTGGGTTTATCTCTGGGCTTTCTATCCTGTTCCACTGATCTATATTTCTGTTTTTGTGACAGTACCATACTCTCTTGATTACTGTAGCTTGTAGAATACTCTTAAGTCCAGGAGCCTGATTCCTCCAGCTCCGTTTTTCTTTCTCAAGATTGCTTTGGCTATTCGGGGTCTTTTGTGTTTCCATACAAATTGTGAACTTTTTTGTTCTAGTTCTGTGAAAAATGCCATAGGTGGTTTGATGGGAATTGCATTGATTCTATAGTCATTTTCACAATGTTGATTCTTCCAATCCAAGAACATGGTATATATCCCTCCATCTGTTTGTATAATCTTTAATTTCTTTCATCAGTGTCTTATAGTTTTCTGCATACAGGTCTTTTTTCTCCTTAGGTAGGTCTATTCCTAGGTATTTTATTCTGTTTGTTGCAATGGTAAATGGGAGTGTTTCTTTAATTTCTCTTTCAGATTTTTCATCATTAGTGTATTCTTACTTATTTTTGAATAGTTTTGTTGCTGCAGGCTGTTACCATACTCCAAACCCCTTATCAAGCTGGGTGACCAAGCAATTTCCCCCAGTGAAGACAGGAATAAGAGTATGTACCTCATGGGCTTGTTGGGAGAATCAAAGGGGACAATCCAGAGCAAAATGCTGAGCAGAGTGCCTGGCGCATAATATGTAGCTCATGAAATGTTATCTACTGTTATTATGATTAGGGGAGGATCTTAGATGATTAGATAGCTATACCCCCTTTCTGAGAGAAGTATCCTCTTTTCTGCAAAGAACAACCCAAAGAGAGATGTCTTAGATTCTAAAATACAAATAGTATAGGGATCTAGGGTAACTATAACCACTACCAAGCAATGATTCTCAGGTTTGAGAATCCTAAACCTGCCAAAGAGGTCTTACAAATCTGTCTTAGCGTGGCAGCCCAGGGACCAAGATCAGTGAGAGTTTCTTGAGCCTTGAGGGTAAATTTTCTTTCAGGCAAGTGGTTGCCTTGGAGTTTCTCTCATTGTCAAGGTCTTGGCCTCCCTCCTCCAGGATTTTTAAAGTCTAGCTCCTGTCAGAGACACTTTGAACATATAACCCTGGCCCATCATTCAACAAGCCCCATGTGCCTCCGGATACTTGTCCATTTTGTCTTGAAAGACAGGCCTGGGCTTTTGGACTACAGAATTCCATATGTATAGGTAGAGGTGTCCCTCTGCTCTGAATGGTTTTTACTCCTAAAATCTTGTTACTACTCTTCATATACTGTTTCTACCCACCGTGTATTGCCCAATCAGTAAGGTTGATATCCAGTATGATCTGCAGAACATGGGTCAGAGATTCAG